AATTACAGTTTACCTTTGATATTATTTTGTATTAGTTTCGGGTGTACAGCATAGTGACTAGACAACCACATACTTTACGAAGTGTGCTGTTCCCCTTACCCCCAAATTTCCAGTACCACCTGCCACCACACCTAGTTAATATACAATTACTACGTCCCCTCTGCTGTACTTTACATCCCCATAACAACCAATCTTAATCTTTTATTCACCCAGTCCCTCAATGCCTCCTCCCATTTCCTGTTTGGGTTCCACACTAAAATGTCAACTACCTGCGGGCAGGGCGTGTCCGTCCCGGGCGCTGGGGCAGTGCCTGGCGCGTTGTTGCAGTTCCACAAACCTACGTCGACCGAACTCCAGCAGCTCAGGCCACGCCTTCAAAACAAACCCGGCGGATACAGTCTACCCCAACCCTCAGGCTCGGACCCAAGCCTAGGTTACCCCAGCAGCGCCCCTGTCCCCCTTCCCGCAGCGACACCCCACCGCGATCTCACTTACCCGAGCGGCACCGAGTCTTTTTCCGGCCGGAACGGCTTGACCCGGAAGTGTTCTCGGGAAGGCGAGGCTGCCTCCGGGCGGAAGGAGTACTTCCGGGGTAGTAGGAGCGGCTCGTCGGCAGCAGTGGCGGCGGTGAGGATGGCCACTGGCGTGGTGCGGGGTTTCCCGGGAGGAGGCTGGTCGGGTGCGGGGTCCCGGGGCCGGACCGCGGGGCCCGGGTCGCCGGGGTCGGGGGAGGACGGTCTTCGGCGGGGGGGCGGCCACCTCGCGGCTGGACGCTGAGGCTGTGGGAGCGCTGTGGGCATTGAAGCGCTACGTTAGTGGGAGGAAAATTCGTCGTGGACGAATTCGTCAGCTTAGTGCTTGCGTTTACACTCGTTCTCCCTTTTGGAGATCTTGTTTGTGGGAGGGAGTGAGAGCGCACGTCCGTCCATCTAGACAGCCTGTTCATAACGATTGCAATGGTGTAAACAACCAGCAGCACGAGTACTAACAGCAAGATGTTACCCACGACTGGTCACGGGCCAGTCTCTGTTCCAAGCCCCTCGCACACACCGTTGTCATTGATTCTCTCTGGGACCCCTGGCCAGTAGGTATTTCCTCCCAGCCGCATTTACAGACGAGGGAACGGAGACACAGACGGGTGAACTTGCTTTCTCACAATCACTGCAGTACGGAGCTGGAAGCAAGTCGCTCCAACTTCAGAGCCCGTGCTCTTAGTTACTAAGCCAAACCACCTTCCATTGTAGTAAATGTGTGGCTGTTAGTTCTCCAAGATAATGTGGAAAAGTGTATATATATATATATATATATATATATATATATGCTGTAAACATTTTTACTTTCAAAATATATAACTCAGCCATTTAGTTTTGCTTGTAATGCCCCAGTCCTTTGAGTCTTTGTCCTCCAATTATGCAAATAGAACACTTACTACAGAATACTTGGAAAACTTAAAAAAACACAAACAGCCAACACCACAAAAACTTCTTTCCCACCTAGCTCAAATATCACTAAATCTTTGATATACAATAGAAAGAGTAGCGATAGCCAGTGTCTAGTATTTTTAGAGTATGTCCTTCCAGTCTTTTGCAAAATTATATAGATTATGTAGTACATATGCTGTGTGTGGTATGTATACTATATATACTATACATAGAATGTTGTATTTGTAATATATATTACTGTTACTATGCATTGTAATTTGGAGAGGGCATAAGGAGGGTTAAAAGATAGTTTAAAAAGTACATATTCAACTACACAGAACATTAATTGAATTTTATGCAAGAACTGTGTAGTCATTCCATTTGACCCTTGGAGTAAGTGGGGCACAGAAATTGTATGCAGAGTTTGGTAACTAGTATGTACTTAAGTGTTTGCAAATAAATGAATGATATTTCAAACTTGATTTGTATGTCTATGGGTTGTTGTATCTAGATTTTTTTTTTCTAGGTGTTTTGGGAATGTATAATGTATGTATCTATAATAATAAAATCGTAATATACTAATTAGATCGGATGTCCTTCTGGAAGACCTGGAGGAGACCAGGGCTGCTAGGGAAGCTGGGGTCCCTGGTGCGGGGGAAAGCCGGTGCCGGTAGTTGGGGGAAGGAAGGCCACTCTTGCATAAATTTCATGCATTGGGCCTCTAGTATAATATAACCATATTATTTAGGCTCCTTGGTGTTATATAAATCTACCTTTCTACTCTATGCCTTCCCACCTTCTCCCTGCCATATTTATTATTGCATATTTCATACTGTCACACCTTGAGCGTTTGAGCTTTCCCATGTTTTGTTTCCATACCCTGAATTCGCTCATTGGCATCTTCATCCGTCAAAATGCTAAGTGCCCTTTAAGGCAGATGTTGCAAGCTCAGATGTCTAAAGGGGTTAATCAGGTCACATAAACAGTCAAATTAGTTGTGGAGAACTAGAGAGCAGGACCCTGTCTAAAATATTCCAGCAACTATTTGCTATAAACTAGTTATTACTAGGTTGAATGTGGGCCCAGTGTTGCAAGATCTTTCAGTTTGACAAAGGAAGTTAGAAATCTTTTTGTATACAAACTTTTAGTTTTAAATGTTAGCAATTAATATTAACAATTGTTTAAATATTGTGCAAGCCAAATAAAAACATTTGTAGGCTATATTTGGCAATCAAAAATTCCAGTTTGTGGCCAATATTCTATGTCTATTTCATATATTGTCCATGAATGTTATTCTCTGTTTTTAGCAGACTTCTTTCTCTCTGTTCTTTTAGTATAGTGCTCCTTAATATGTCTTAAAAAATTAAATATATATTTTTTTATTTCAGAGAGAGAAAGGGATAGAGAGAGCGATTGAGACATGAATGATGAGAGAAAATCATTGATTGGCTGCCTCTTGCACACCCCCTACTGGGGATCGAGCCCATGGTCTGGTCATTTGCTTTTGACAGGAATCAGACCCTTCAGTCCACAGGCCAGCGCTCTATCCATTGAGCCAAACAGGCTAGGGTCTTCTAAGATATCTTAATTGTTAATATGTCTTTCTTTTCTAGTACATTAGGAACATTTTTATGGTCTGGATTGGGTCTGCACTTAGTATATATGGTACAAAATCTGTGTTTGTATATACCTAAGGTCTCATTGTGTGTGTGTGTGTGTGTGTGTGTGTGTGTGTGTGTGTGTTTATATGTATGTATATATTGGATACATTTGTATCTTCCCTGGTGATATTTGGTTATCCTGTAAACTAGCAGCATTACAAAACACTAATATCTTGGTTTTAATTGTCTAAGAGCTATACTTCTGGAAGGAATTGAATTGGTTAACATTCCCATTCAGGAGTTAAGTCTGATGAAAATACTACCTGATAGCTTGGATTTCATAATTTCTCTGAAAATTCAGTAAAAGGAGAAGTTGATTAATTGGCCCTCATTGAAATGAAAAAGTTTTGCTTTTAAAGAGGATGAAGAGATAAGCTATAATTGGGTTAAAATATTTGCAGACCACATATCTGACAAAAGACTTGAATCTAGAATATAAAAGGAGCTCTCAAAATTCAACAGTAAAAGAAAAAAATTCAAGTAGAAAGTGAGCAAAAAATACAAATAGGTATTTCACTGAAGAGAATATATAGATGGCAAATGAGCACATGAAAGATGTTTAATACCATTATTGATTAGAGCAGTGGTTGGTAAACTGCGGCTCGCAAGCCTCATGCAGCTCTTTGGCCCCTTGAGTGTGGCTCGGTGTTAGAATCACTTCTTTAAAATAGACTCGCCCCGGGCCGAAAACCAACTTCTGCACATGGGCCACGAAGTTTCAATCGTGCGTGCCCATATGTGGTATTTTGTGGAAGAGCCACACTCAAGGGGCCAAAGAGCTGCATGTGGCTCACGAGCCACAGTTTGCCGACCACTGGATTAGAGGAATGCAACTTAAAGTATCACACACCTAGCAGAATGGCTCAAATAAAAAAATAATACCAAATTCTAGTAAGAGTGCAGAGAAACATGATCACTCATACATTCCTGGTGGGAATGCTATTTTGGAAAAAGAGTATGACAGCCCTACCCAGTTTGGCTCAGTAGATAGAGCGTCGGCCTGTAGACTGAAAGGTCACAGGTTCGATTTCAGTCAAGGGAATGTACCTTGTTTGCAGGCACATCCCCAATAGGAGGTGTGCAGGAGGCAGCTATTGATGTTTCTCATCGATGTTTTTATCTCCCTTCCCCTCTGTAAAAAAATAAAAATATATTTTAAAAAAATGACAGTTTCCTATAAAATTAAGTACCAATGGTTGTACTTTGGGACATTTATTCTAGAGAAATTAAAGCTTATGTTGCCATAAAAAGTTGCACATGACTGTTCATAGTTGTTTTATTTGTAATAACCTCAAACTATAAACAACAGGTAAATGGTGAAACAATATTTCCTTACAAAGGAATATTACTTGGCTATAAAAAGGAGAAGCTATGGATGCACACAACAACTTGGATGAATCTTGAGGGTCTTAAGCTAGTGAAAAAAGTTGATCTCAAAAGCTTACATAGTCTGTGATTGTATTTAAATCCCATCTTGAAATGACAAAATTATAGAGATGAACAGATCATTGGTGGCTATGAGATTGGAAGAGAATGGAATGTGGCCCAAAAAGAATAGCCCAATTGATCCCTGTGATTGAACGTTTCATATATCCTGACTTGGTGTTGGTCACAGAAATCTGTACATGTAATAACTTTTTATAGAACTAATTACACATGCACAAATGAAAGCATATAAAACTGGTGAGATCTGAATAAAATAAGTTGATTGTTTCTATCAATATCCTGGTTGTGATATTATACTATAGTTAAACAATTGTTAACCATTGGGGGAAACTGAATGAGGTTTCTTTGTATTATTTCTTACTTAGTCTCTGATAATCTCGAAATAAAAGGTTGAAACAAATAGCTTATACCTGAAAAACCTATATTATTAATTTGTTCTTGGGCTTTTATGTTACCAGGCAATGATCTAATCATGTCAGAAAAAGAAGATATTGAGACTCCAGTGATAACTGAAGCAACCCCCACCCCTGAAGATGAGAACTCCGAGCCAGCCAAGAATTCTGAATCTGACAACCAAAGTATCAAGTTAGAGAGCAAAGCAACCGCCATCCCTGAAGATGAGAACTCCAAGCCAGCCAAGAATTCTGAATCTGACAACCAAAGTATCAAGTCAGAGAGCAAACCTGAACTTGTAATTTCTACTCGGAAAAGACCAGAGTCCAAACCTTCCAGTGACCATGAGACTTCAGAAGTTCTTCCTATTCAGGCATCACAGGCTGTAGGCAAAGTAGAGTATCTGTTACAAATTGAGGTTAAAAAATGTAAGGGTTAAAAATAATTTAGAATCAATGCCAGTTCAGAATTGCACCTATTTCCTTTTATAAGCATAAAACATAATTTTCTCAGGTTTATAAATGCCTTTATGAGTAGTTGTCTTTGTGGAGTGGTGATTACATGGAGGTTATATTCATCTCTGTCAGTCAAACAATATATTTCTTTAGCCAAATAATGTGTATTTGTTTGCCCATACTTTTGGCTACAAATTAGTTGCCTTGTCTATATACTCTTATTTTCCTCTAATTTAAAAAAATTTCTTTTGCTTTTTGTTTTTCTGGCTACTGGGAAAATTAGGAGACTGTTTCCAAAGATGAACCCCAGACTGGATGGGGCTATTGGGGCAGCTGGGGCAAGTCCTTACTTTCCTCGGCCTCAGCTACAGTAGCCACAGTAGGTAAGGACATCAGTTATTTTTATTAATTTTTATGTGTATTTTGCTGAAGATCTGGGTTAAAAGTGATTTATTAGTAATTTTTATGTTTATAGTTTGAGGATGCATTAGTATTGATGGGCTGATTTACACAGCCACTAGAATTTACAGCATTTCCTAATTATAAGGTTGAAGTTTAGGATTTGTTAATATAAAATTATTCTTTGGTGATAATGAATCATTTTTTCTCTTCTGATAAGGATGCATTTCCAAAGATAATGTAAGATCCAAACAACATGTTCTGTAGCTGTTCATACATTAAATATATGGTTTTAATTTTTGGTTTATTTTTTCAGTTTTGGAGTCTAATAGCAAGTAATATTTAAATATAAAAATGTTATCATTTTTCTCGTTAGGACAAGGTATTTCAAATGTCATTGAGAAGGCAGAGAATTCCCTTGGAATCCCTAATCCCAGTGAAATTTCAAATGAGGTCCAGTATGCAGCAGGTCAGTATATTGAAACAATAAGACATAGAATTATGGATCAACATAGAATGGTTGAGCTCTTTTTTCAGTAGAAAATTATTGAGCCTCTGATATTCAGGGCATGATGGGACTGGTGAGAAAGGCAGTTTGGAGTCTTTGGCTGACAGAAGTCTATGTCTTTTCACCACTCATGTCTCTTCACTTCATCTATGCAATGGAATGATACTTTATATCTCAAAGGACTTTTGTAAACCTTAAATAAATAAGTTCTTGAACATAGAATATGAAAATTGCCCATCATATTGCTTGGCATAATTAGTAAAAGCCCAATAAGAGTTAGCTAATTTTGAAACTATCATGGTATGGAAAAATACTTTAATGTATTATTTTTGGGGGTATATATTTTTGTGGTTGGATTTTTAAAATGTGGGGATCTTCTTTAAAAATGTATTGATTTCAGAGAGAGGGAAAAAAGCATGAGAGGGATAGAAACTTCAATGAGAGAGAGAATTATTGATTAGCTGCCTCCTGTATGCCCCCTACTGGGGATTGAGCCTGCAACCTGGGCATGTGCCCTGACCAGGAATCAAACTGACTTCCTGATTCATGGGTCGACACTTAACCGCTGAGCAACACCAGCCATGCAAGTTTACTCTTTTTAGGTATATAGTTTTAAATGTTTTTTTTTTTTTAATATTTAAAAAAATACATTTTATTGATTTTTTACAGAGAGGAAGGGACGGGGATAGAGAGCTAGAAACATCAATGAGAGAGAAACATCGACCAGCTGCCTCCTGCACTCCCCCTACCGGGAATGTGCCCCAACCAACATACAATGCCCTTGACTGGAATCGAATCTGGGATCCTTGAGTCCACAGCCCGACACTCTATCCACTGAGCCAAACCGGTTTCGACAAGTTTTATATATTTTGACAAGCATGCAATCCTGTTTACACAGTCCATTTGATTATACAGATAGAGAATATTTTCTACATATATAGGAAATCAAAATAAAATAATATATTCATCATTTCTCCCAAAGTCCCCTAATGCATACACATACTCTCAGCTCTTGACAACCACTGATCTTTTTCTAATTCTATATTTTGTCCAGAAGATCCTGTAAATGGGATCATATTATAATAGATTGGATTTTATTTTTGAAATTAAATGAAAAAGAAAAAAAAGCTATCTTACCTTTCATTTTAAAATAGGCAAATAGTTTAATGAAACAAAAAGACATACTTTCTATGTGGGAAGTAGGGTCTGATTTTTAAAAAATTCACATGGATGCTAACAAAGAAAAGCCATTTATGGACCCATTCTCTACTTCCTGTAGGAGAGACAAATGCCAAAGAGAATGAAAACTTCTCACCGATGACTGGGGCACTTGGTGTATTCTCTACTATCTCTACTGCTGTTCAGAGCACAGTGAGTATAAGGTGGCCTGCTTCCTTCCAAGATTACAATGGAATCTTGTCTCTTTCTTCCTCATCCTTGAAAAGCCATGGAAACTAATTGGCATTCCAAATCACTTTGATCTTAAGGGTAGAATTACAGGTACTTGAAAACTCACTTTAAAGGAGTAAAGGTGGGAGCAGGAGGTTAAATGGAGAGGAACATATGTGTAACATTTTTTTGAAATAGGAATTCTTAGTTTGGTAGCCCTAGAAAACTCTGCTTTACAAAAATATTTGTCTCATAATTGCATCTTTTAGGCAAAGGAGAAATATATTTATAATGGATACTTGTAAAACTGTATGATTAGGAACACTTTTTAAGAAGATTTTTTAATTGATTCTTAGAAGATAGGAAGGAAAAGAAAGAGAAACATCAATGTGAGAGGGATACATCAGTAAACTGTCTCCTGCATGTCCCTTACCAGGGATCAAAACCTTAATCTGGACATGTGCCCTGACTGGGAATCACACCAGTAATCTTTTGGTGTATGGGATGACACCCAGCCAACTGAGCCACACTGCTTAGGGATAGAAACATTAAAGCTTAATATCTTTTCTATATGAATATAGATAGCTAATACTTTTTAATTTTAACTTTTATTGAAATATAACACATATACAGAAAATGGAAAGCCTAAGTGTTCAACTTGAATTTTCACAGCGTGAACACATTCAGACTAAGAAACAACATGATGGTAAATCATGTTCTGTTTCCCAGTCATCTGTGCCTCCCTTGCTACCAAGATAATCACAATCCTGACATCTACCATCGTAGATAAATTTTGCCTGCTCTTAAACTTTATGTTAATGGAATCATACAGAATGTACTCTGTTGTATCTGGCTTCTTTCACTCAACATTATGTTTGTATGATTTATCCATGGTAAAGTATGTGTAGAGTATTGTATTTTATTTGTTGTGTTTCATTGTGTGACTGTGTCACATTTACTCATTCCACAGGTTGGTGAGTATTGGGATAGTTTCTGATTTTTTGCTTTTACAAAAAGCCTTGTGTGGGCATTCCTATATGTCTTTTGATGAACCTCTGTACAAGTTTCTGTTTAAGTATGTAACCATGTGTGGAATTGCTGGATCATAGGATATTCATAGGTTCAGTTATCGTAGATAATTACAGTTTCCCAAAGTGGTTATACCAATTTATATTCGCACAAGTGGTGTATGATTGTTTCAGTTGCTCTACATTTTTGCCAGTGCTTGGTGTAAGCCACTATTTCATGTAGTCAAAACATGCATGTATCTTTTTCAGTATTATTTGTAATGAGGTTGCATGTGTTTCCTAGGGAAAGACGGTTATCAGTGGGGGTTTGGATGCCTTAGAATTCATTGGGAAAAAGACAATGGATGTAATAGCAGAAGGGGATCCTGGATTTAAAAGAACCAAGGGTCTGATGCACCGGAATTCTACATTGTCTCAGGTACTGCCTTTACCTGTTGGTTTCCTATTTCTTTGTTGATCTGTATGTTTTTGCCTGTGGTAACTTGGGTCATTGATAGCATTTCCTTTTGAAGAATTTTTAATGATTTGTAAAATTAAGGCATTTGTGTGTGTGTATGGTGTGGGGCGAGGGAGCCTTGGGAAGGGTGGAGGTTGAGAGAAAAGGGAGAGCTTTAATGCTTAAAAAATATCCCAGCTCTCTCCCCCCCCCCTCCCCCACTTCCTTTCTGCAGGGGCCTCCTGTCAGTGCAGTGTAAGATGCCAAGTCCTTTCAGAGTGTTTATTAGATTAATGTTTAAACTACTTTCAGAGAAACACCTGGTTCCTAGGGTGTTATTTACCCTGTCTGGAATCAAATTATGTGTGATCATTTCCCCCTGCTGCTCCTGAGCCTATCAGATTTGAATCACAGTGCCAAGAAGGAAAGAGCAGTGCTCTGTATTGTTACCCATCTCACCCTTGAAGCTCTCATTACTTGAAATGTAATGCCTCTGTCTCTTCAGGTTTTAAGAGAGGCGAAGGAAAAGGAAGAGCAGAGGACCACAAATGAGGTTACCATAGAAACAGACAGGAAAACGCATTACGGGGTACTCTTTGATGAATTTCAAGGTCTTTCACATCTAGAAGCTCTGGAGATGCTTTCCCGAGAAAGTGAAGTAAAGGTAATTCTAAACCAAAATATCAGCTGGAATAGTTGCCAAGCAAAGGAATGCTTTATAGTTCCTTTTCCTTTTGTACAGTTGGAGGATGAAATGTGTTTCAGATGGAGACTTGAGACTCTGAGAATACCAGGCCAAAACAGACTAAAAACTAATGTTTGAACTAATTGCTGGAAATAGAATAAGCCAAGTGTTATTTTTAAAATTTAAACAAAAAAGGAGAGATTAACAAAGAATTCTTAATAGCACATTTGCTATTTTTCTTCACCTTGGCCTTTTTTTAAAGTTTCTTTGGCTTAAACTGCCAATTTGGATACAGTTACCTGTTAGCTTTTAATTCAAGACTGCTTCATTTCCAGACATTTCTGTCTTATATTATTTTTGGAAGTACACATTCTACCTTTCTATAATGACCAGTCTGTTGTGTTAAGGTTCTTAAGGAATAGATTGTGTTGGCTGGTGAGCTCATAATTTTGATTTTAATTAGATCTATAGCCTCTTCTCCATTTGTGAATGTCTTTCTTTTTTGTACTCCCACAACTTATTATATTATATTGATTCAGGTGAAATCTATTCTTAATTCTCTAAGTGGAGAAGAATTAGAGACTCTAAAATTTGAATTGGAGCAGCTAAAAGAAGCATTTTTCCTACCAGAGTTCTCTGAGGAAGAGGAAGAAGAGAAAAAAGGTAATATGAAAACCTAGCATCTGAGTGGGAAGGATATGGTGTGTTATTTTTCTCTTCTACCTCTTTGCCACAGATCAGGACTCCACCAAGATAGCAGTGGAGTGCTGCATGCCCTCCTTCCTAATAACCCTCAACCAATCCCTTGGTTGAGATTGCAGCACTGACCTTGGCATTTAATTGTATCTCAATGAACTTGGTTAAAAAAAAAAAAAAAAAAAAAAAAAGTGGTGGTAGCAGAGGGGAGAGAAAACCACAGAACCTGGTTCTGGTGATATTGGTCATTTTTGTTTTCTATCAACATCCTTAGCCCTCTCCTCTATCTTAATACAATGATCCTTCTGCTTGGGAAGAATACTTCCTGCTTGGGGAATGTTACCCCTTCTCCTGAGTCCCTTCAAAGCACTACTGTCTCCTTCCCATCCTTACACACTTTTATTCTAATGCAACAACTACTTTTTATACTCATATCTGTGGAGAATACATGACAGTGATCTCCAAACACATGACAGTGATCAAACTCTTAGCAATAAGAGTTTTTTGAGCACTTAGACCTAATATATCCATTTTGGAATATTTGTAAATTATGCATTGAGTAATACTATAATAATATATTATTTATATTCTAAAGTATACCCTAAAATAGAATTTTAAAAAGAATGAGACAGATGTCTATAAATTGAAAGTTCCACCTCTTCTATTAGATTACTTTGTGAACCTCTTGGGGTGCATGCATCCCAGTATGGATTCACCTACATAAATTTGAGCTTTAACTGAGAAAACAAAATGCCTGCCTAAAAGTCAAGTTTTAGGTTTTTAGACAGTAAGATATGATTAGGAGTTGTTTTTATTACTTTTATTATTGTTTTTTAAAATACATTTTATTGATTTTTTACAGAGAGAAAGAAAGAGGGATAGAGAGAGAAACATCAATGAGAGAGAATCATCGATCAGTTGCCTCCTGCACACCCCCTACTTGGGATGTGCCCGCAACCAAGGTACATGCCCTTGACTGGAATTGAACCTGGGACCCTTGAGTTCGCAGGCAGATGCTCTATCCACTGAGCCAAACCGGTTTCGGCACTTATATTATTTACAGTTGTATAATTTAATGAGATCAGCTTTTTCTAAAACCATATTATACCTGGGATCACTAAAGCATTTGAATTCTCATTCTTGAATGATAAAAGGAGGATAAAAGAATAACAGATGAGAGAGAAAAGCCAAGATAGAATTTTGGAGAAAAAGCTGCTATGAAACAATAATAATTTATTCTAAATGAAACATGAAATGCTGTCTAAGAAAGACTCATACAGATTGTTGGTGCCAGAAGACTTATATGTACAAGGATTGTCTCTGCATTCTGTAGTACAGAGAATCCTTGGGGTGGGCTTCCAAGGGATAGTGGGTAGGATTTAGATGAGTAGAAAGGAAAAGAGCATTTTCTGCCATTTGTTTGTTTTTTAATCTTGACCCACCTGTTTGCATGTATGTTTCTCAAGTATGAGTATTCCGTTTCCTATCATCTCCTGCAAGGCCCTTCCGACAGCTTCCTTACCATCCTAGCATTCTGGAATCACTTTTCCTCTTCCTTTCTTTTTGTCCACCATTAATTTTTACCCAGATCCCAGATTATTTCCTTAGCTTTCCTGCCTCCCTTCCTGTTCCCCTTTCAATTCACCCTGCCCACCCTCAGGAGCCAAAGTGATTTTTCTAAAATTTAAATTGGACATATCTGTCTGTGTTTAAGTTTGAACACCTCACCATGATTTATTAGGCCCTTCATTACCTGGATCCTGCTTACCTTCCTAGCTTCATTTTATTCCTCTTCTTTCATATATATATACACATATGCACATATACACATACACACACACACACACACACACATACACACACACGCGCGCGCGTGCGCACACATACACACTATAGAGGCCCGGTGCATGAAAATTCATGCACTGAAGTTGGGGGGTCCCTCAGCTCAGCCTGCCTCCTCTCACAGTTCCGGAGCCCTCAGGGGCGGAGGCAACCCACCTCTGCTGCCGCCACTGCCATCCTGGTTATCTAAGCCTTGGGGGGCCCGTGGCAGCTGGGCAATTGCCATCCAAGGCTTGCCTGCACCTCTGGCCAACCCTGGGTGGCTGGGAAGCTGAGGTGACTGGGTGCTGCCGTCTTTGAGGGCAGGGCAGTCAATTAGCATATTCCCTCCTTTAATGGCTATGGGTGCCACCATTTTGTGATGGCTCAAGGGTCAATTAGCATATTCCCTCTTTATTAGATAGGATGCTGCTGCTGCTGCTGCTATTATCATTTCTTTTCTTGTTCTCCTTGTGCACCACCCTTCCCGTTCTGTGATCCTCACTCCTCTTTCTGTAGTGTTTTACATGGGACTTTTTTTTAGGGGATGAAGAGTTTACCAAAGAGATAACAGAGCTATTTTCCCAGCTGCATGTCTCCTCTAGACCAGAGAAACTTGCCAGGGTAAGTTACTATTTCTTGCTGATTTTTTTTTTTTATTTTTTAACTTGTTTGGATTTAGAGTGTAAAGAAGGTAAGATTGTAAGTTCCTGGCAAGGATGCCAACAAGATTGAGGGTAAATTCTGAATTCCACATCTTTTGCCTGCCTCTTGCTTTCACAGGTTAACATGCTGGACTCACATTTGCATCCCCTCCCTTTCCTCTGGAACACACACATCTGCCGTCCTTACCTGTTTTCATTTGGAATGTTCTGATTGTCTGAAAACTTTAATTAGTCACAGAGTTGGTCAACCAAAGCCGGCAGTGCTCACCAGCCTTCATGACACCAAGGGGTTAGTCTCTAGTGAGGCTGTAACTGTCCACAGGGCTCTGAATGTTTCAGAGATAATGGGATGTGGCATCTGACCTTAGGAAGCTGGAGGTTGCCATTTCCTAGAACACAGTGACTAAAAATAATGACCATATAGCTCGTGTAAATGTGAGAGTCCATGGCCTCGGCAGTGATACTTGAGCTGTCTTTACATATCTGGAACATGGAGAGACTTTGGTCAAAGTTCAGAGTGGATAGGGAGGGCCGGTTTCCATAGCAGTACCTGCATAGCATATGTCAGTGTCAGCTCATGGGACATTACTCACTGGGTCTTGGGCTGCTTGATGCTTCTTCACCCTCCTTTCCCAATCTCTAGAAACATTTCAGGACAGTCTGCATTAGGTACACATTGCTTCCAGCCCCCTGTATTGATCCTTAAACGGAATTCTTAAAATAATTTAAAAGAGCGTGATCTGGTTGATGGGAAACCAGTGAAGAGAAGAGGAATGGTCAGCTCTGGGCTCAGGTAGATCACTGGTAGCATTAAGGAAGATGGATTTAAGATGAGCCGGATCAGAAGCAGGGAGACCAATCAGAGTGCTATAGCCACAAGTGGATCTGAAATCAAGAGGTGGTAATAGAAAGAGGAGGGACTGATGGAGAAATAGGATAGAATCAGACCATCTTGGTGATTGATTGGGAAGGGAAGATTCTAAGATGGCTCACATATTTTGGCTTGGATGACTGATATATCATTGTTCCTCTAAAGTTCTGGAGGATAAAAGGATTAAAATTTTTGGGAGAGAAAGGCAATTCAAATTTTGTACATGTTATATGTGATATGCCTGTAGAATATTCTGATTCAAACGTCCAGCAGGCAGTTGGAATATGTTGTTTTCAAGAGCAGTCAGTGCTGGAAAATAAGGATTTAGGAGTCAGCAGCAGGTAGGGAGTATTTAAAATCACTGCAGTAGGGTGAGTGGAGAGAAGAGGGAGGGGGTGAGACAAAAGAGCCAAGGCCAGGTAATGATGTCCAAAGGGCAGCCAAAGGAGGTCAAGGAGACATGCTGATAAGGGTAGGGGGAACACCAGAAGATAGTGTATTACAAAAGTTAAAGAAAATTAGAAACATCCCAAATGGCCATTATCCGAATTGGTAAAATGTGGTGTATGTATAAAATAAAATACTACACAGCAATAAATAAGAATGAACTGCTGATACACACAGAAACTGTGTAGATAAATCTAACATGCAGTATGTTTTGCTTAAGAAACTGGACACAAATTAGAACATACTTATGATTCCATTTATATGCATTTTAAGAACCGGTAAAATTAAGTTATAGTGAGACGGAAGAATGATTACCTTTAGGTAGGAGTAGGGGGTCTCCTTTTGAGCAGTACTGACTAGGAAGGGGTAATGGGGACAGCTAGGGTGATGGGGATGTTCTTTTGTTTTTCAAATATTTTTTATTTTTAAAAATATATATTTTTATTGATTTCAGAGAGGAAAGGAGAGGGGGAGAGAGAAACATCAATGATGAGAGAATCATTGACCAGCTGCTTCCTGCACACCCCCTACTGAGAATGGAGCCCACAACCCGGGCATGTGTCTTTGATCGAAATCGAACTCAACACTCTTTAGTCTGAAGTTGACGCTCTGACCACTGAGCCAAACCAGCTAGGGCTGATGGGAATGTTCTTTATCTTGACCTGGGTCACAGATACATAGGCATATGTACAAGTAAACATTTCTTGAGCTGTGCTCTGAAGATTTGTGCACTTTGCTGTATGTAAATTATACCTCATTTTTAAAAATACTAAGGATGAGAGAATTCAAGAAGGCATGAGTGGACAGCAGTGTTAGGTGGCGTTGAGAGTTCTAGTAAGTTAAGTACTGAAAAACTAGGTGTTATGTTTGGATGAGAACAAAAACACCAACTTCCATGATGCTAACATGTTCTTGGTCAATGCACAATAATCTTGGTAAGCTGAATTGAATTGTTGATGGACAATAATCTTTTTCTTATTTAGGCAAGAACTACAGCCTATGAATGGATTAAGACATCTCTGGAGAAGCCATTAGAAGAGAAGGAAGAAGAAAAACAATTAGAAGGAGAAAAAACTGAGCAAATCAATAAAAATTCAATAGAGGTAACCAAAGCAAATAAGGTTTTCTTTTTTGTTTTATTTTGTTTTGTTTTTTAAAGGATGTGAGATGCAGGGGTATTGCAATCAGGGACTTTGTATTTTGTTGCGTTCTTATCCATAATTGCTACTTTGTGTTTTAAGTTGTAACATCTAAGTTCCAGACTATAGGATGGAAAAGAGTGAAGAAAAAGATGAAAGGTACATATGTGGTGTTATTAGGGTTTCCAGAAGTTGCCACAAGATGCTTTATCTAAATCTTTTGTTGAAAACTTAGTCACATGGTCACATCTAACTTCAGGGCAGCCTCTGTTTTTATAGCAGTGAGTCCAGCTATAAAGTTATATTACTTCTATGGAAGAAGAGGTTTCATGGTATTGAATCCTTCAGTGTGAGAGAAGTAAGGTAATGTCATTGAGATTAAAAAAAACACATGGGTTTTTTTTCTTTTTCTTTTTTTTTTTTCCATCCAGGATATCCATGCATTTGCGATCCGGAGCCTAGCCGAAATGACTGCCTACTCAATTGAATTGTTTCACAAAACAGCAGCTCTGGTTCTGCATGGCCAGAAGCAGGAAGTAACAGCTATAGAAAGAAGCAGAACCCTTTCCCAGTAAGTGTAATAAGTATCCTTGTAAGTGATGCATATTACTGAAAGTTTTCTGGGCTTATTTCCAAAGTTTTAAAAACTTTCAGCAAGATACTATTCACACTGTACCATTCACATATTTTAGGTTTTGTTTATTTTGGGTTTCAGTTAGTTAGATAGCCAAGTGCGATGTTTCTTTTTCACTGCAATAAACCTACATTATAATTCTGCCCTTTTATTAACTACTTTATACTCTGAAAACTAGTTCTCAGATTATTGATTGGTCTTACTAGGAATAGAATTTTACATATGTAAAAACAGAAAATAGTTTTAAGAATCTCATTTCTGGATAATTAAGTTATTGAGTGCTAATTATATGCCAGGCATCATGCTAAGGGATTTACATGTATCATTTTTAATTTTTACAACAACCCTAAATGATTGTTCCAGCTTTAAAAGTGAAAAAATGCAGACTCAAGAGAGGTTGAATAATCTACCCAGGTTATTTTTGTGGTTTTGTTTTGTTAATCCTCACCTGAGGATATTTTTTCCCATTGATTTTTAGAGAGATTGAAAGGGAGGAATAGATGGAGGCTGGGAGAGAGAGAGAAACATCGATATGAGAGAGGCACATTGACTGGTTGCCTCCTGCATTTGCCCTTCTTTCACACTACTGCTGATTTTGAACAAAAATTTTAAAAATAATAAAATGTAGATAGTCATGGTGGGGGAAGGGGGGAAGACCTATTTGTAAATTCAAAAATCTCTTAATTAAACAATGAGAATTTTTATTGGAAAAAAATGTGTGAGAGAGTGTCCAGTATACTAGGATTGGGAGGGACCCTTGATATTTTCTATACCTCTTCTTCACCTTTAGTTTTGATACCCTTTTGTAATAGGAGGGCCTGGATTTATCTTGAACAGCCTTAGGAGGGGGGCTCAGAATTCCATGCCATCCATCCTGTTCTGTGGAAAAATGGCTATTTCTACTGCTTGGAATGCTTTCAGTCATGACTCACTCCCTCACAGAATTCAAGTTTCCACTCAAATGCTGCTTTCTTTACCACCCAGTCTAAAATAGTATCTTCTCCTATTTTCTAATCCTTTACTTGCTTTATTTTCTTAGCTCATGTCACCATTTAGTGTATATGGTGTGTGTATGTGTATATCCTATTTAATAAAAATGAAATATGCAAATTGACCATCACTTTGCAACAAAGATGGCAGCACCCATAGCCAATAAGGAAGGAATATGCAAATTGATGTGACAAGGATGGCAGCAGCCAAGCTGGGATGCTTGCATCATCGCCATGGCAACGACGCAGAAGCTCCCTCCCTACCCCCCCAGCTGCTCTGGGCCCCTGGGCAGCTTGTGAAGGCAGAAGGCGGCTCTGGGCCTGAGGGAAGGCAGAAGGTGGTGGCCAAAGTGAAGGCCTGGGTTCCAGGAACTGGGAGGAAGGAAGGCCTATTGTTGCACGAATCTTCGTGCATTGGGCCTCTAGTGTGTGTGTGTGTTATTTTTTAATTTTTTTTTTTTTGCACTGGGCCTCTAGTGTGCATGAAATTCATGCACTGCGGGGGAGGTTCCTCAGCCCAGCCTGCACCCTCTCACAGTCCAGGACCCCTTGGAGGATATCCCTCTCACAATCCAGGACCCCTGCTCCTTACTGCCCACTTGCTGCTCCTTACTGCTTGGCTTACTGCACCTTAACACTTCGTGGAGGCAGGAGAGACTCCCGCTGCCGCTATTGTGCTTGCCAACCATGAGCCGGGCTTCTGGCTAAGCAGCGCTTTCCTTGTGGGAGCACACTGACCACCAGGGGGCAGCTTCTTCATTGAGCGTCTGTCCTCTGGTGGTCAGTGCGCATCATAGTGACTGGTGGTTCTGCTGTTCAGTTGGTTTGCATATTAGGGTTTTATTTTATAGGATGAAAATTAATGTATGGAGGTGTTTATATTATGTAAGTATATACTAGAGGCCTGATGCATGAAATTCATGCACTCTGGGTAGGCGGGTCCCTCAACCCATCCTGCGCCCTCTTGTAGTATGGGAGCCCTCAGGAAATGTCCAACTGATGGCTTAAACCCGCTCCCAACAGGGAGCAGCTCTATGCTGGCAGCTGGACATTCTTAGCTTTTGGCTGAGCAGTGCTCCCCCTGTATTGAGCATCTGCCCCCTGGTGGTCAGTGCGTGTCATAGTGACCAGTCGTTCTGCTGTTCAGTCAATTTGCATATTAGCCTTTTATTATATAGGATACCTACATATACACACATCTGTCCATCTATATATACATATATAGTCTCCCCCTCCTATAAATAAGTAAGTTAGGATCCATGAAAACTGTGACTTTGCTTGTTTACTGATATATTCCCAGAGCTTAGAACCTGGCACAAAGAAGACTTTAAAACATATTTGTTGAATAAATGAATGTGTATGAATTTTAGCTATATTTCTAAGTGGTACATAGGATTTTACAAGTATTGTTTCCTTAAAATGTATTTTTCATTATTTTCTTTGATTTTTCTGAAAAGTATATTGCTTTTTAGAGGATTTTGCAGGAAAATGTTTTTCCATGGAGTGAACCTTCTCTTCCTGTAGCATGGATGCCTATTCAAATGGGTCCCCAAATGCATAGGTTAGCTGACAGGCATGCTTCCTCCCTTTAAAAGCTTTCTTCTTTCACAGTTAGTACCATGAGTGATTTGTTCTCTTCTAAAAGTTGTTAAATATAGCCTATTCAAAGAAAGAGTGAAAGGAAAACAAAAGAAGGAACCATCCTAACTCTTCTCCCTTCTTCTCTAGGGTGACGGTTGTGTTATGTAAAGAATTGTCCTCTTTGTCTAAAGAGTTTACCACCTGCCTAACAACTGCTGGGGTAAGAATTCATGTCTCTTGTTGGGCTGATGCCTGTTTTGTTTTGAAAACAGCTTTATTAAGGTATAGCTTACATATCATAATATTTGGTTTTATAGTATATTATAGAGTTGTGCAACCATCACCGTAATCTATTTTTTGACCATTTTGATTATTTCCCAGAAAACCTCATACTATTAACAGTCATTTATTTTCCTCCATACTCTTATATCTCTTAGCAACACTAATTTACTTTCTGTCTATAGATTTTCTAATTATGGAAATTTACTACAAATGAGATCATACAATCTGTAGTATTTTGTGTCTGGTTTATTTCACTTAGCATAATGTTTTTGAGGTTCATCCACGTTGTAGGAGTAAACTGTGGCTAGCCGATAGGAGAGTTGTAATTAAAGCTGAAGTTTAAAGCATTTCCAGATATGACATTTTGCTCTCTCTCAGTTCAGACTTTTTCTATGCTTATATTTATGTTTGGGTGTGTGTATATGTGTATGTTGTGTGTATCAAAGTGGGATCATACCATGTTTATTGTTTTTTTTAATCTGTGCACATTTAATTTTGTATTCTTTATTCTAGGTCAAAGAAAAGGCAGACATCCTTAATCCATTAATTACTGCTGTATTTCTAGAGGTTAGTAGAAATTTTTTTTAAATCACTAACTTTTAGGCATTTTGTATTAACTCTTCTTAAGTTTTTATTTTTTGGCCTCCCCCCCCCTCCCCACAAGGTTGGTAGTTTAGCCATATTGATGCATATTCCATGTTTATTACAAAATGTAAAAAATCTGCTAGGTAAAGTACACAAGAAGTAGGAAGCTATCATTATTTAGTACTGTTCTTTGGCAGTTAATGGACAATTTTCAGTAACAAAATACCCTTGGAAACCAGCAGATAAACACAAAAGGTTGGAAATTAAAAGCAGGCAAGCTTTTAAAGGACTAAGGCTTAAGCAGAGATTTGTTAGAAACAACTCACAACATTTTGTCATTTCCTTGTTAGAAAATTTGCTTTGTTGTATCATGTTTATATAATCCTTAGTCCATAAAATTTAAGGAGGTGGTTTCTTTAAATCCATGAAAAGGGAGGTATAAGAGGATCCCATCATGGAATATTGCTCCCATATGTGATGCTTTTTGGATTCCATGTTTTAAGAATTCTATCTTGTACACTAATTTTGTGAATAATTGGGCATTTGACAATCTGTTTAAAACATTTATGAAAATCTGGAGAGGAGAAAATCCTATATAATAATCTTATATAATAAAAGGGTAATATGCAAATTGACCCCAACAGCTGAAAGACCAGGAATGACTGGTGCTATGACATGCACTGACCATCAGGGGGCAGATGCTCAATGCAGGAACTGCTCACTGGTGGTCAGTGCACTTCCACAGGAGGAGTGCTGCTCAGCCAGAAGCCGGCTCATGGCTGGCCAGTGCAGTGGTGTTGGCGGGAGCCTCTCCCACCTCTGTGGCAGCACTAAGGATGTCTGACCAATGGTTTAGTTGGACATCCCCCACGGGCTCCCTGGCTGCCAGAGGGATGTCTGACTGCCAGCGTGGCTCGATCCCCCAGGAAGCGGGCCTATGCTAGCAGGTGGCCATCCCCCGAGGGGTCCTGGATGGCAAGAGGGCACAGTCTGGGCTGAGGAATGCCTCCAAGTGCACGAATTTTTGTGCACTGGTTAGGTTTTTAATATGAATTGTAAAAGATTTTTTGTTTTTTGCTCCTGGACTTTTAGTTACTTCTTTAGTTTTGAATTCTTTAAAGTCACCACTATTGAAATGCCTTTAATTCCTTAACTGCATAATTTTCCTTGAATAGTCAGGGAAATTATTCTGATCACTTAAACAGTTGTTTTTTAAAAAAAATAAGTATGTAATTTAGTAGATGGCAACAATGTTTAGATGAGGTCAGTTTGCATGCTAGTAGCCCAGTCTTGTCCTGGACCTTCCCTGATTTGCTGATGACCCTATACCGGACAGTTACCTTCTTGGCAATCTCAAAATCTTTATTTGTAAAATGAGAGATTTCACTAGTTAGTCACTGAGGTCTTTTTTGGCTGGAAAATTTGGTATCAAATGCCACACTGAAGTTTAAATAGGAATACTTGCTATTGGTAAATCCAAAATAGGTAAACTCACTTGATACAGGTTCCCTGTTGCTATTTTAAGTTGGTTGTTCTTGCTTAAAGATTTGAAACACTTGTCCTGGGAATTATTAATTTTATCTTAATGTAATGAACTCTCTGTTGGTATTCTTCTGTAAGGTTAAGAAATGTATCTATACTGTAATCATCATTAAATGCTGAATCCATTGTTCACATTTGTGAGCACCTATCTTGTATTCACTGATTGTGTTGAGTCCATGGAAGATGAGTTTTTCACAATGGACTGGAAATCTTATTGGTACAAGATTCATAGTCTTCTGAAATCCTCTTTGAGTAATTGACCAAAATGCTTTGAATCCCAAATTTGAGCAGGATGACAAAGAATGCCTGTTGTTTTTGCTGTGCAAGTTGGTCGAAAGATGCTGACATTCTTTGTTGCTGCTTTCATATCTTCTTAAGAGCTAGATCATTCTTTCCCCTGTAACTTTACTAAAATGATTAAGTCTGCCCTTATTTGTCAGGCTACAGATGCTATTAGATTTATATAAATTAGTTTTTTGTTGTTGTTGTCTTATGGTATATTTTCTCTTTTAAGTGACTGTGGTATTTTCTTTTCCTTTTTTCCAATCCTTTCAGGCATCGAACAGTGCTTCCTACATCCAGGATGCCTTTCAGCTGCTCCTACCTGTGCTGGAGATCTCGCTCATTGAAAACAAGACTGAGTTACCAGAGGCATGAATTGCAGGGCCAGAGACCTTTGTCAGAACATTGAAGATCAGAGAAGATTGACCTAAGACTTGTGATGGCCAAGAAATGCCACTCTATTCTGGGTACTCTTGCAGAAGTGAAAGAGAAGGGCTATTTTAGTATATAAAAATTCAGGCAGGATAGCAGTTTTATAGGAAGTTTGTTGCCTTCACTGCTTGGCTGAAGTATTCAGGTTCTCACACTGCTCCTCCCGGTTGTTATAATTAATAAATTATTTGAAAAGAAATTTTAGAAGAAAGTTCAAAAATAATAGCTCTAGATAAAGGTTAGTGGGATACTCAGGTAAAAATATTGGTATTTTCTTTGATGGTGCAGAACACTAACAATTTTGTCATGGATATAATTAGGCAAGAGAAAAAGTATTTAATTTTGAATTCTAGAATTAATGTGCTTGATCTATTAATGCAATGCACTTTCTTCTTTAATAAAATCTATGGCTTTAAGAAGCTGCATATATGTAAACTCTATAATGATTACCCTTTATTACATAAATTCTTGGAATTGGTTAGAAACTTTTATCTGCTCTTTAATTCTCAGCAGATAGTTGGCATTGAGGAGAAACTTATAGAATATACTTGTAGCCACACGAGTTAACTATAGCAGTGTGTTGTTTGGCTTCAAATTGCTCTCCCACAATTGCTTTCTCACTCCAAGTTGACAAGTTTCAAGTTGTTGACCTCTACTCAACTGGATTCAAGACCAGTAAGTGCCATTAGAGAAACAGTTCCATGTTTCCAGTTATTCTGAGTCTCTAAAGATGTTTTTCATGCATATCCCATATGCAGGATAAATTTGGTAAGAGCCAGCTCCAAAGGAGTGTGAAACACTTACAGTAAGGGGTTTTTTGTTGATTGACTTGAAGTGCATTATGGAGTCCGGTAGTAATGATGTTCATTATCAGAGGATTTAACCTGTTAGTCATCGTATATTTTTCCTCATTCTTTTTGTTTTAATGCATTCTTTAGTATGTTTATAAGTACAATTATCCTTTAGATCTTCAGCCTTCTTCTTGTTCTCTTTGACAGTTTAAAAGACTGAAAGACTATTGTTTTCCTAAAAGTTATTTTGGTATTCACTCTTTTTTAAAAAGTTCTTCAACCTTATGGTTTTTAATGATTTAGGTAACTTTTGTGAGTTCTGCCACTCTTCTTCTAAAACCTTTAAATAGAATAATAATTTTTTCAATTGATCCTTTTGTTTAAACATGAGCCCTAATAGCTTTCTCAGACCCCAAAAACAGCAAAGTCATAACATAGATCAATGTCAAGACTATTTCTATGTAATCGCCTTATTTGGCTAAGAAGCTATTTGTAAGCAAGGAGGAAAATAAATAGATTTGGCTAACTAGGTATACCAATAACACTAAAATGTAGCTCTGTTTATATTCTGTTCTAAAGTGATCAGAAGATTTTTAAAATATTACTTTATATAGACAAATTTCATCTTTCTCAAAGTGACAAATTTTGAATTTTCAGAAAAAGTTTTCTGTGGTTAATAAAGTTGGTGTTCCAATTCTGATTTATTGCCTCAATTCCGTTGCTGTGTCTGAATCTGGATCCTTTGAGCAAGGTCTCCTTGAGAAGGGTTTAGAACTGGTCACAGTGCCTACTACCTGTTCAGACTTGTAAATTGAAAGTTTGTAGCTTTTACTCTTTGATCTAGAAACATGTCTAAGGTTTTTCTTTCAAGAAGAGGGTTATAGATGTGGAGGCAGAATAGTAACTCTCTGTATGTGTCTAACCAGGTTGGAGTCCTGAATTGGACCAGTGTTAGATTGGACCTTTCAATAGCCAAATGTGACATGCTGCCTCTTTTCTTTCTCCCTTATTTCTCTCATCAGCTCCTCCCCTTCCCCTCCCCCATCCACCAGAAATGACAAAAGGACCATTTCTGAATAACACCTAAAATATAAGGAAGAAAAAGTTATTTGTCTCATTAGAGATAGAGAAGTAAGAGCATAAACTTTCATTCATAGGCGAATAGGTTCATTTAGGGGCCATCTTGGAACCTATTGGATTATGGTGATGGTTTTGGATGGTACATGCTTCATTATTCTGTTTGAGGTTGGTACATGGTGTAGTTTCTTGATGAAACCTACTCTTTTGGTGCTATTTCCTTTAAATTTTCTGATGTTTAAGATTTATCATTATGTCCTAATATGTGCTACCCTCTTTCCAGTTAATAACTCGATAGGTAATATGTTCAATTATTATTGAAGTAAATGTTTCTCTTCCTACTATTGAGATCTTCAAAGGCTATGATTAAAATAGACTTGATTGATTTGATCTAAAAGAAATAGAAACTTCTATGAACGAGTTCCTGGCTTTTCCTTTATATAACACATTGTATAAAGATTGGATAAGCTATTTTTTCCTCACTTTTGATAATTTTTTTTTTTTAGGCATAGATACCCAGATTGACAGGATTCTGAAATATACAATAATTCATATAGATGTTTTCACAAATCCAAAATTAGTGCTAAAGCACAAATGTGAAGTTTTTAGTCCTACAATCAGGAAATGAGACCTTGTGGTTCCTCCACCTGAATGAGGACCTCCTTTTTGTACTTGTTTTTATCTAAAGACTTGTTTGAGGGAGAGATGTGTTATAAGTAGTATCTGTTGATGTCATCATTTGAGAAAGACATTTTTCTATATTTTTTAGATGAATTCTGAATTTTAAAGGTGAGAATATTCATCATGTTGGAAAAACCCAGAATAAAATTATACCCACAGTAGGCACTCAGTAAGTATGATATTTCATAAATGTCAAGGATTGGAATCCCTTAACAACATAATGTACTTATTTTCATAATGAAGCATTTGAAAAATGAAGTTCTAAAAATAAACCTGTTAATTATCATGTCACCAGATCTCTGGCTAATACATGAGAATTTTGAAAACTTCATTAGTTCCACTTTCCAACTGCACCCTGATATTCCTCCAGCACTGGTCTACTGGTCCCTCCCTGTTTTACTTGTGTCCCTTGTTATTAACATTCTTTCTTGTTATTTCATCATTTGCCCAAATCCCATAGTGCCCTCATGTCTAATTATAGCTCCTCCAATCAACTCTTCAGGGAAGAAATATCAGAATATTCTCTGAAGCTCATTTGTCCTTCAATAAAGATAGAATAAGACTACAGTGATTGATCATTCACCCTTGCACATCAGTGTTGCCTTTTTTAGACCTTTAAATTTCTGACTGGCCAACTTTTGTAGAGGGCATATCCAGAGAATACATATTGCATGAAATTAGCTTCTATATTTGCTTGTCAGCCCCACATGTATCTCTGTCTGTACACACTGGCCATTGCTGTGCTCTTAAGCTGGTTTTAAAGAGGAAGTCATTTTCCCAACCTGATTGTGATTGCACCAGTATGCTTTGTTTTTTTAAAGCATATTTTTAAGTTGGAATGGGTGTAGTTTGTGGCAGAGTTTCGACCAGCCAGTCTCACCTGGATAACTGTTGCACTGACCTTGGGGATTTCAGCCAAACTTGCTTAGTCCTCAATTATCTACATAATTATTGTATTTATTTATGTCAGAATTAAAGGATTTCTCTTAACTATTTAGCCCAACTGGATCTTCCTTGACCTTTCCCACATGTATCATTGAGAGTAATAAGAACTTCATAGTTAGCGTGTATGTTGAGGCAAAAGTTTCCAAAATTAGAACAATATTCTTACACATTTATAGCATCAGTAAATCAGTAAACACATAAGTCCTCTTTTTTTTAGTTTGCCCTGAGTTTCCAGCTTCTGGCATAGGGTCTGACACATGATAAGAGATATGTGTTGGCTGATTGAAAGAAAGAAAGAAGAAAAAGAGAGGGAAGGGGAAGGGTGGCTTAGTGTTTTTCTACTAGTAGAGAATATAGAGCTGGAAGGGACTTTCAGGCATGTAAGGTTGAAATCCTCATTTCATAGCTAGGGACATAGACCTCATGAGAGCCAGTGACTCTCCTGAAGTCACATAGCTGATAGGAGGCTCTGGGGGGATGTGAACCCAAGGCTGGATTCCTGGTCCGGTCTCTCTTTTTGCTACAGTAGAGCTTGATAGTATTCTGCACACACACACTGAGAGGCTGCTTCCAGACATGGGCTGGGGAACTAAGTACAGAAAGTGTGGCCTCTGTCCTGTAGGAGCTCTCACTGGTGCCACTGTCAGAGCAATTTCTGTCTTGTAGATGCAAAGCCCACTGGAAAAGGAAGTGAGGCAGCTTCTCTGTTTAACTTGTGGCTGAGTTGCATTGGCTTGTCCCCAAATTGGTTGTGACTTATGGGACAGGTCAGCAGTGCAAATGTTTGCAGATGCAGCCAATAAAACCCACAAATGGTTACTTTTACTTTTCGTGGCTTGTGTCTAAAGTGGCCAACTTCTGTTGTACATAGAACTACAAAATGATCTGTTGCTCATCAACTACCAGTGGTTAAGAGGGCACTAAAATGGGTGGAACAGCTGTAATAGTAGGCACCATAGAATTCACTTTTTTCTGTAAATCTTCTCAACTGCTCTGTGATGCTGGACAGTGACCTCCCAGTTTAGGGATCTGAAGGATGGTGTAGATGTTACTAGCAAAGACAGACTCTTAATAGAATCACAGCTTCCTCATTTTCCAGCCCAATGATCATGAGCAAGTGACTTAATCCCTTAAATTGCAGTTTTGTCATCTGTAAAATCAACCTCATAATACCATATTATGAAGTCATTGATGGGATTAAAAAGAATAACCTGTGTAAACTGTTTAGAAAAATAGTAAAATCAGATAATGTTTAGTGAACACTATGCCAGGCACCGTTTTGAATGATTGAATCCTCATCATGAGATAGAAACTATGAGCATGCCCATTTACAGATGGAAAAACTGAGAGGCAGGGAGGTTAAATAATGTGCCTCAGGTCACATATCCAACAAAGGGTAGAGTCAGGATCCAAACCCAGGCAGTTTGGTACCAGAGTTTCTGTTTTTTA